TGAGAGGATTAAAAGTCAAAAAAACATGATATGACAAATGGCAAGTTGATGTTGCAACTTCAGACACCACACACACACACACACACACACACATATATATATATATATCGGAACACCATATATATATTTAACAATTACCATATTCATCTTCAAACTAAAAAACAACTAACTAAAACCAAATAAATCGAGGAGTAATGCAGACATGAATTGAGTCACAGTTGTTATGAAGTCTTTCTAAAATTAATAAATATATTTTTTGCACTAAATAGTTACTATAAAAATTATATCATCACATAATTAATATTAAAGTGATCTAATAAATAAATAAATAAAACTCAAATTATCATAAAATTAAATTATATAGAACGATCAAAGATGATATTTTAATTTATTCAAATGAAGTCAAAAGAAATAGAATATAAAAAAGTGACAGTTTGTGTAATCCATTGTTAATGAATTTTGATACAAAATTTTTATTATATAATTTTCGTAATATAATCACGACACAAAAACCCTATTTCACCGGTAGACTTAAAAGATAACGTTAATCTAAACGAATTATTGGTCGATACACTAGTAAAATTTTTAAACAGTAAAAACTCGAAAATGCAGGTTTAATTTAGTTATTTAATATATATATATATAAATATATGTCAAACTCAAACACTCTTCATGTATAGAAAATTATAAATACTAGCACCAAGATAGTACAATGAATTGACGAGGCAAAGCGACACATGATAAGACTTTTCCACGGTGTGTTGGTTTCCACAAACATCGTCAATACTAGTATAATATAAAATTAAGGTTCATAATGTATGTGTTCATGGCATATATATATATATATATATATATATATGTCGTCATTTGATAGAAAATTGGAATCGAGTGGCTGTCATTTGTTCAACACATAGTCACAGATTACTCTCTGTTCAAAAAAACAAGATATCATACTTAGGGAATCGTGATTTATAATTGGTTCTTTGTTTTTGTAAATCACAATTCTCTAAATAAGGCATTTAATTTGAAACGAAAATAATAATCTATTCGACTATGCATATATATCACTTTCCACGTTGTCAAATTTGTGATTGTTATTTGATTAATGTTATATGATTCGAACGATATACTTCCAAAACATTTCACAATCACCATTTAGCTTCTAAGTATTTTTTAATTTTAATCCTAACTAGTATTATCTTCCCATTATTATAAACTTTTATCCCCGACATAAACTGACTTGATCATATATGTGTGTGTGTGTCAATGTGTTATATAATTTTCCCCTAGACCAGGAGTGGGATAATTTTTATTATTATTAATATTATTATCTTCTTGCTCAGATGAATTCATGTGGTTGTTTTTCTGCATGATTTTTATTTATTACTTTTTTTAGTTAATATGGGGTATTCGGGATGGCATGAATCGTTAAGGCCTCTCAACAATCCGACTAATTCCTGAGGTATTCGGGAAGGGCACCTTCCCACGCGGGTCAAGTAAGTTATTGCAGAGATAGTGAAGGCTAGTTACAAAGAATACTCAGCGAAACTCGAATCCCAAACCTTACGTTTACTAAATTCCAAAGTTCAGTGAGTAAATCGCTGGATTATATCCGAAGTTAATGTATTTACTCACTGAAAGGATCTACAATCTTCATCACCATAATTGAAGCTTTAATTTTATTGGCCGGTCATTTTCACCTTCACATGGACTCTCAAAAATAATTTTCAAAATCTGATTAATAAGCATGTTTTTGTACATAAAATTATTCTCAAAAAATCGAACCAAACATACCTGAGTATTCCAAAAATGAGATAGGAAGAAAATGTGGCGGACATTAGAAAAATCAAAATCTAAGTGAAGTACTAATAACGAGCTGTATTTGACGATAATGTTATTCTATTACGACACATCGTAAAGTCAAAAGAAGGATAAATTAAATTTGGCATTTGGACCACAATTGTGCATGGAATGGATAAGAGGCAAGGGCTTTCTAATTGGAATGGAGTTTTCATTGAATTTTGAAGATAAGAATAAAATAAAATAAAAGGCTTACAAATGAATGTAGATTGGATGACTAGATTCAATTGGTTGAATAAGACTTGCCAATTAGACCCACCCAATGGAATCAGTGGACAAAAATTATAAACTTTAATGACAACTATTAATAAATGTTTCTTGTGTCTAGTGCACCGACATATCAACGAATATTTACTCCTAGACACAATTTGATGAATTCCTTATTACAATGTACCCTATGAAGCCTATTTTGGAGGTTTAGTTTGATGCATTGATTGTGCCACACACCCAACTGTCGGCATTTTGTATCATCATTGCTTCATTGAGGAAAAAAAAAAAAAAAACTTTTTAAGGAAAATCAACCGTAAAAAGTATTATAAGCTCATAGAATTGTATAAGAAGAGACGATTTTAAATAACAATAATATATAGTGAAATGTCAATTGAAATTGAGTGGGAGTATTTTAAAGATTTTTACAAAAATATAAGTATATTTTAAAAAAATTCAAGTAATTTTAAAAATATTATTTTTTATTTTTTTTTGGGTAGTGGGGGCGTTTGCACCGGCTGAGCGGTTAATGGGCCATGACTGAAGTGTTGTAAGAATTATTCTAAGGCTCCGTTTGGATGAAAATAGTAAGAAAGGAAAGGAAATGAAAAGAAAAGTGAAGTGAATGAAAAGAAAAGTAATTTTCTAATATGTATTTAGTTAAGATGAAAATTTATCCAAGAAAATATCATGTTATAGTTTAGATATCTAAATTGTTCTTATTTTATAGAAATGGTAAAATAATTAAAAATAATAATTAGTAATATGTATATAAGAAAATGATGGAGTTTTCAATTAATTTTGACCTTATAAAGTAATATTTATTTCATTCATACACGATAAAAAAAAATTAAAAATATTAGATTAGAGTATATATATAAGTTTTACAATTACAGGCTACCGACTCCCATGTATGAGGTAAATAATTCTATCATAGAAGCTTCATTAAAAATAATATTTATTATCTTTTTATTAAAACATTTCTAATAGTTGTCTCACTCTCATATAAAACTTATATCATTTTGGAAGAATTATGAATCACCAAGGGGCCAGTAGCCTAGCAATATCAGCCCCTCACCTTTCAAAGAGAGAGTAGGACTTTATGTCTCAAAAGAGATGTACGCACATATTAGCCAACTAGGAAAAAAAAAAAAAAAAAAAAAAAAAAAAAATTTATGAAGCAAGTTTATTATTTTTATTATTATTTATTTTTTATACCATAACTTGATCTAAGAACATGAAATAGTGAGGAATTAGGTGTACAACGCGACATCAGAGCGTGCTTGTAATTTTGTTTAGCTTTTTCCTGATGTAATACATTCCCTCCATATTGGAGTGGCACTCGTGATTCACAAATCGCAGTGATAAATATATATATATATTAGGTGTACAACGCGACATCAGAGCGTGCTTGTAATTTTGTTTAGCTTTTTCCTGATATAATACATTCCCTCCATATTGGAGTGGCACTCGTGATTCACAAATCGCAGTGATATATATATATATATATATATATATATATATATATATATAGACACACACATATAAACGGATACACGCACAACACGACATTACAAAATCTTTATTACGTTGATATATGATGTCCCATCTGCTTTATTACAAATACCAAGTTCATCTGCAACAAAATTTGTGTAGTGGTGAAATTCAGCAACACCATAAAACGAATTTGATTCGAAGTCTAAAGAGTTGTGTCATGGTAAGTCACGACAGCACTCTGAATAAATCCTTAACTAAATACAATGATACTATTATATATGTGTACACATATAGATATATATGACAGGAGGGTATCCATGTCATCAAGTTTTTATGAGAGAAAATGTATTCAATTTGAATAAAATTTTCAAGTTGGTATGATTACCACTCATTGTTTATGTGAAAATGTAATATAAATGTCCTAGTTTCAACTTGCATCATTTTAAAGCATATTAGAGCACCTATCATGATCTAGAGGTGTTAGTTGCTCATATTTTTATTTTTTTCCTTCGAGAAGACTGGGAAATGAGATTAGGGGAAAACTCACACGAGGGATTCTCTCTAGTGCAGGAAAGGTCTTGCACATAATTCAGTGATTGAAATTGAATTAATAAATAGGATTCACCAGTGATAATTCAATCTCAACCACTGAATTTTGCACAAGACCTCTCGTGCGTTGGAGAGGATCCTTATCCCACACAAGGAACCTACTAACCTCAATTTTAGGAAGAAATATTAATCATAACAGATGAATAAAAACCCAGCATAACTAAGCATGTAAAAATCCAACTCGGATCGTTTCCGTAGAACAGGATGCATCATGCTCGGTCCAATTTGGGATGTACTTTACAAAAAAGTATTGGATATTTTCCCACACTGGACAGAAAAGGACACAGGATAGGACTTTTACCTTTCTCTGTGTTTAGCCTTTGTTCCTCATCTTGTTCTTGTTCTTCTTCACCTTGATGCAATAATGTTCAAGGGCAAAGATTTGCTCCAAAGGAAGAACCACAAATGATTACAGTTGGCTTCCTGAGTCACATAGATCCTAGTTTTTCTGTCCAACAACGTTTGTCAAAAACACCTGAATTGGTCACCGGTCATTCACAGCCCTCCAAATGTTGCAATTGACATTCAACCCATCACTGACGAGCGACGACGAGCATGACAATGAGCACATACCATTTCTTGCCGTTGAACAGAAGGCACTCGCGGACCCGGTAAAAGAGAGACTTTGATGGTCGAAAGAAGTTGCAGCCATTCTTCAAACGGATGAGAAGTTCGGTATCAGGGGCAACAATGATGCCCACCAAGCACAGAATCAATCTTTCAATCAGTGGGGGCTGCTGTGAATAATAATAAAGCAAATAGCATAGCAAGGCAGAAGATTGATTCTGACCCAGAAAAAAAAAAAGTCACTATTGAAACCATGTACGTGCCTCCCAACAATGGAAACACCAACATTTGTATTGATAGAATACCATCTCTACTCCAAGTTATACATGATACAAAATAGGTTACGAGTTGCCATGGAGAAGCCAGTGCCAAGGTCGTGCGAAACCCTACCCAACAAACCTTCCCCTGCTCCTCTTGAGGAAAACAAAATAGGACTTACTGTAATTTAGCCAAATAGTATTAAATATATATTACATTGATGCTCCTCAAAGGATGACCAGAAGGCGCGCTAGCAAAAATGGCTGGTTTCCGCGACCCATGCAGGGCAACTGCTCAAAAGTCAATACATGAAAGGAAAATAAATTAATAAGAGGTATAAACTAGGAAAAAAAAAAAAAAAAAGGTATGAAAACGATTAGAGTCGTAGATTTTGAAGAAATTTAATTATCTGCACCATAAGATAGAAGATATTACAAGGCTGGCAATGGATGGATGGCTTCACATCTTATAAGAAAACTTCAGCCTGTCACCCTTTGCGCTTAGGTTTCGTAGTAGCCCACTTGAAGTAACCACAATTTGTTTCAGGATTAGAAGCAGGCCCCTATAAGAAGTTCAAAGAAGAAAATGGTTCTGGTTAGTTTGTACATGCTCCACCTTTCCCAATTGCCACTTTACACATGCTAAGAGCTAATATGTGAAAAGACCTGGAAGGGTGGGAACTAAGAAACACCAATGTAACTTAAACAAAGGCCGTGACCATAAAAAAAATAAAAAAACAAGAGTAACTAAAGCAGGCCAAAGGACGTATAATAAATCCATAAACACCCCCCAGAATTTTATTAAAATTTTCTAGCAAATAGGTACTCGAGAATAGCAAGTTTTAGAATATTTAAAAGCTGTCCCCCTAACTTTTGAAACCTCACATTTTGAAGTTATTGGGTCCACCCCTGTTTACTCTGGTCTCACATTTATGAAATAACCAAGCCCGATCATGCTAAAGTAACAAGAAAAACAACTATTTAAACTACAAACTCAGAATTTACGAAAAAAGGACTATATGGGGAATAGCATGACCTTTTGTTCTTTGTATTTAATTTTAATGCCATGCCCATCAAGTAAAAATTGTACACATCTTAATACTATATATCTAGCTTCACAGATCCTAGAGCTACTAGTTTTTCTTTTTCACTTTTTAAAAACCATGGACTCACCTCCAAAGAAGTAGCAGCTGCAAATGATTAATATGATTATATAATAAGTAATTGTGGGCATACAATCTGCAAAAACAAAAATGAATGTAACTCTTGAGTACATTGTACCTCAGAACGAGCACAGACAAAAAATCTGTGTCCAAAAGTAGGACCTGGTTTCTTCACAACCCGAACAACACAGGCTTCACCATGGCCCTTGCAAAGAGGAATGCTGTTCTGCATGAGTTGTTGAATCCTTTGCCACTCTAATATAGCAACATTAGTCTTCTCTTTTTCTGAATTGCAACAGGAATTTAGCTCGCCCTGATCTTGAGTAGATGCACAATCATTCAATTCACATTGTTTGGGACTACTGCTTGCATGATCACCCAGAAAGGTTCCAATGGGTGACTGATTAGAACTTGAAACACCTGTCTGACTAAGTGAGAGGTCAGTGCCAGAGTTGTCGGCACCATCGCTAAATCTTGAACTTTTCTGGAAAAAGGATTTCAGTGTGAGTTGTGAACAATCACCTTGTCTTGGTTTTTTCCTAATTTTTGTGCCAGGTTTTGAAATATCGCGGTCAGATCCCACTTTAATCAAATTCTTATGAGTGCCATTAGAGGAAACTCCAGAGTATTCATCTGTTCTTGGACTGGCAACTTCAGATTCAAGGTTCGAAGAATAAGATATTGCTTCTGAGGATATGCCCAAACCAATGCAACCATCAGATGACCTTTTCAGATTCTCACTGCAACTCCCTCCAGTACTATTTTCTTCTGGAAAGGAACTTGACACTCCACAGGTCTCAACTTGCTCAGCTACTTGTCTTTTGATCAACATTGAGACTGTAAAAGGTTATTGGGTTGGTAAATTTCCAACAAGATATGGCAAGACAATTACAAGGACAACTTAATGGAAAGATTTCATCTCTGTTGTAGACAAAGACAACTGAAAAGAATATAAGTAATAAAGAAAATATACATAAACTACCAAAACACAAACATTCAATAGAATGCAAGTCCAAGACGTCAAGTAAAATTAGAAAAAAAAATATTTATAAATGTCACCACTTTGTGCAGCCACTTGATGAAAAACAATGTCAAATGTTAGTTCTTTCTCCAGTTCAACCCTCCAAATACCCCAGGTAGGCAGGACCAATGCTAACAAAGACAACTGAAAAGAATAAAAGTAATAAAGAAAATATATATAAACTAACAAAACACAAACATTCAATAAAATGGAAGTCCAAGACGTCAAGTAAAATTAGAAAACAAAATATTTATAAATGCCACCACTTTGTGCAGCCACTTGATGAAAAACAATGTCAAATGTTAGTTCTTTCTCCAGTTGAACCCTCCAAATACCCCAGGTAGGTAGGATCAATGCTAGTTGATGACCTTTCTAATCTTCTTACATTTTTGGATAGTCACAAAGATGTAGCCATGTGGCGTGTCAACTTTCAGGGATGTTATATCAGACTCTAGCAGCTTGTGGCAACCTGCAACTGTGGCTATTGACTTCACCCCTCCAATTAAATAAGGGTTAATTTCATTGGCACCCCTTCAAGTTTGGCCAAATATCACATTGAAATATCTTTCGAAAATTAATATCAGTTAAGCTACAATCGTTTGTTCCATCTTTCACTCACACCCCCAACCGTTATCTACACATGACGTCTGAGCTATGACACCATGTAAAATGACATAAATACCCTTTGACTTTGTCAAAAGAACTCACTAACCATAAAGAATTAGATAAAAGACCAAAATATCCCTAAATATTTTATAAATTTACAATAATATATATATATATATATATATATATATATATCCCTCTCCTCTCACTTGCCACCACTAGTTCCGCCAGCGACCTAGAGACCCATATTAGCGATCCACCACCATCTAGCCCCAATTTACAACCACAGTTAACACCAACCGTGCCTTATATGCTGCAAAGAGCCTGTAACATTGCTCAAATTGTGTCTTAACAAAGAATTTTTCTTCATCCCTCTCAATTGCTCCAAAGAGCCTGTGACATTTACTATCTGGATTGCTTAAATCTAGCAAAGAGGATTGTTGCACCCAAACATATTTTTCTTCATCTCTTTCGGATGAATGGCCACTATAGGGTTCATAGAGAGCATGTAGCATCAATCAATCAAGCATTTTTTTATTCATTATTTCAAAATCAACAAGGCACTTCGCGAGCTCAATGGACTCAAGCACATAAATAAGGCCAATTAAGGCATGAGCAGTTGATAGAGCAAATTTTGACTCACCCAATAATTTTTTTTTTTTAATCAAACTGACCCAATAGTTTGATTATTGTCTTCTTTCTCTAAAATTAAAGAAACCAAGTTCCCAAATTAGAAATATTCTTGTTTTCAATACACTAACCCTAATATAGCTTTTGCATCACCTCTGCAACCATACATACACATACACATATACATATATATATATATTCATAGATACATATATGAACGAACACATGGACACGCATGTGATTTTTGTTCATTTTTTAAAGATGTTTGGAGTGGGATGCTTAGATTTGGAATATAAATATCAATTTCTCCAGAATCACTCCTGATTCATGCATTTCAAGATTACAACTAATTGGTCACACCAAGAATAATTAGGAGAATATATATATATATATATATATATGTATGTATAAGCATGTCAGCTTTCAAGAAAGTACCTCTGGATCGGTCAAGAATCTATGCTTAAAATCCACTTTGGTTCCTCCAAATTTTCAAAAAAAAAAAAAACATACACAAAATTAAGAAGAAGAAGAAGAAGGAAAAAAAAAAAAAAAAATCAGTGAACCGACTTGAGAATTTTGTAAGTCTTCAAATTGGAAGATCCAGATACGAGAGAGAGAGAGAGAAGTGGGTATAGTGAGGGTAACTAATGAGGGCAAAATTGACATTTTAGACTGTTGATATTTTAAAATAAAAAGTATTAAAAAATTAGGGGTAAAATAGTCTTCTCACTCAATTTTAACAGTGCCAGTGATGAAAAAGTAAAATTGGACCTAAGTGATAGTAATTTTCAAAAGATGCTTCTATGTGATATTTAGCCAAACCTGAGGAGGTGTCTGTGAAATTAACCCATTAGATAAAGATGCATTGTGCATGTGGCTACATCCTCAGACTATAGGAATTGCATTCGTCAATGATTCTTTGCACCAATTAATTTGCCACTTTATGAAATAACCCACAAATTCATTATTTTAACCACCAACATTCGCTCAACTAATAATCTTGATGAAATTCTTCATTATAATGATTTTTCTACATGTAAGCTCTAAGAAAATATATGTCAAAATATTGAACCATAATGATACAAATTTATAAGTTCTATATAGGGGTGACAAAGTTTGACATGACCCTCGAACACGATACGAGTTAAACGGGTTTGTGTTGACCTTAAACGGGTTCGGGTCGTAAACGGGTCGATACGATTAACCCGTTTAATTAATCGTGTCGTGTTTGGGTTGAAGAGTTCAACCTGCATAACCCGTTTATACTCGTTTAACTATACGTGTCATAAGCAAATTTCTATTTAAGTTCTAAAATAACTATCTAAACTTGTATCTTATAATTTATTCTTTTGTAGATTAGAGATTATTTAGTAATTTGGTTGGATTGATAATTATATTTTTCTAGTATTTAATGTTTTATCGAGTATTATTAATAATTTAAATAATAAAATATTTAATTTAATTAAACAGGTCGTTAAACGGGTTAGACGTGTAACCCGTTTAATAAACAGGTCGGGTTAGTATTGAGAGTTACTGACACGATTATTAAACGAGTCGTGTTCGGGAGTAGAATACCCTTACATCGACACGACATGATTACGACCCGCGAACACGAATTGCCACCGACTTCTATAGCAAATTTCTAGCTTTATATCCACTAAAGAACAACAATGGGCTCAAAGTTCCAGTTACATATATACAAAATCGTCTACAGAAAACTTGTTCCCATAAGTCAAACATAACAAACTTCCAATCAATCAGGAAATTAAAAAATGCAAGATATTCAGTGTAACGTATCCAAATCCAATACCGTCCGAATAAAAGAGCTGTTGGATTTAAACAAAGACATCATAACATAATAGACACCAAAAATGCTATATAAGTGCAGATAATTCAAAGAATGAGTTAGGTTCTCGCACCAATAGTTTGTTGGATCCCACGAACCTCAGGAGCATATCTAGCTGATAAAGAGGGAGTGCTATGCTGCAGAATATCTGGGATTTCCACCAAACTCATGTAAACAGGAATGTGATCTGAACCTTCCAGTTTGATGCTTCTCCCGTCCTTCCACCTGTGGATGAGGCAAAGAAAGAAAAATTACATTTTCTCCTTCACATGCACAAGTAAAAATGAGCAGATTTGTGAATCTATGTACATTAAAATGCATGCAGATCCTTTACTTTATAATTACCATAAAATTACCCTTGTACTATCTGGGTTAGTGATATGCATTTAGCGCATGATTATCACAATCCAAGTGCCCATCAAACAGGTACAATGTATATCAATCACCCAAACCATATAATTCAATCAACTGGAGAACCCTAAACAACTCTGAAGATGAAGGGGGAAAAAGTTCTAATCAGTCTGAAATACAGGTAAAACAGGATCCATTTTAAAGGGCAAACCCAGTGCGTGAGGTTCCCGCCAATGCAGGGTCCGGGGAGGGTTAGATGTACGCAGCCTTCCCTTGCGTATATCTTAGCTTAAAAATGAGAGAGACACCAGTTTTGTCCTTAACATAGTAAAAGATTAGTGCACGTGCACGTGCAGGCATGCACGCACAAGCACAAACACAAACTTGCATCTACATGCATGGAGCTTAAATGAAACCTTTATCTTCAACTGTTTTTGCTATTAATTAATTTCAATTTAAAACATATAGGAGCTCAGTGCCTCACACATCTTTCTTCTAAAACAATAATATAACCATATATTGAGCAATATCAAGAAAGAGTTGAGGTAAAAAAAAAAGGAAAAAGAAGTATATACGTGCCTATCTGCACCTTCAAGCATGCAAAGTTAGGGGCTTATGGACATACATATACCTACACACACACACACACACACACACACAGCATAATTATTACAAATACTGGTTATCTGCAACATTTCAATTATTGTGATGCATTAGGACTTCATAAAACTACATAGTTCTAACTTCTACCTAGGTGAATTTTCAGGCCTCCTTCGCTTAAACTGCATCAACATGTCACACTCCTTAACATGGCATTTTACAAAGCTGTGGCATTGCTGGTCATGCTCTTCGTGTAAACATGATCCAGCACTGAGAATATGATCAATCCTAGTCCCATAATTGAATTCTTCAGCTCCTGTGTCCTGTCGCCAATGTGTATATGCTTCTCTTCTGGAGAATAAAAATAAACAAAGGATAATAAATATTTACAAATAAATAAATGAACAAACAGTGCAACAAGATCATGAATTGAGTTGAAGCAACAGCTTTATTCACTGATGTCATTAAGTAAATATTATTAAATGTGACAGGAAATTCTGGTGATCAACAATAAGGTAAATTCAAAAGTAACATAAATGCAGGCGCTCATTATCATTGTACAAGGTGGAATATAACTCAAAGAAATATACAAAATGAAAACTGCACAATGCTCACAACATGTCTTTCATCAATTAACATAAATCATAAATCAAGTAAGGTATAAAACCTGTCAGGATGTTTTGCTCTAAAAACATCAAAGAAAGGACCGCCATTATCCACTAGTAGAGATCTGAACCATGCCCTGAACCTACAAGACAATTTATTTTGATAAATTAGATATGAAAGGAATTCTAGTAACATTAGAAATTAAAACTAAAGAAACAAAATGCAGCACACATAAATATGCAGGTGTATCAAACAAGCACTTTATAAATTTGCTAGCAGCTCACTCATTCTTCTCAAAATCAGGCCCTGGATTACAGCTATCTATAGCAGCAGGAGCAATGTTGAGATCACCAACAACAATTATATTTCTTCCTTGACGCAGGAGACACTCCCATCTTTTCTACAACAAAGATTACTGATATCAACCAAACAGCATGAAGATTATTAAACGCTTAGTGAATCTAAATAATAGCTTCGCTCTCTGAGGCTGCAAAAGAAACTAGGAGATACATGCTCAAAATAAAAGAAACAGACTTCTAGAGCCAAACACCATTTACGCAAAGGTTTATATAAACAAGTGAGTTGGATCACAATCTTTAGTTTTGCAGCATTAGAAACTTCTCTTGCTGTCAATACTGTCAATATGAGTGGAAATTGAAAATAAAAGGCAACTACTACTTCAAAAAAAGACAAGATTAATTCTCAGGCACCAATCCCATCAGGATGGGTAGTAATCAACAAAAATGCATTGGAAATAAAAAACTGGCCTTCCCCACCTTTCTCTGGGTGAAGAATTAGCATGCTTCTTTGTATTTCACATCCACTAATATGATTTTCATTTCTAGAAAATTCAGATCTTTTCAGAGCGAAATAATGTAACGTGCAACCTTAAAAAATAAATAAATAAAATTATGCCCCAATCCACCTTTCATATCATTTCTCCAAAGTTAGCCAAAAGGAAAATTTGCAACACATGTAATGTAACATATTTCTTGAGGCATAAATGCAACAAATGAAGTCATAATTCAGAAACCACAAAAATAAAATATTTCGTCACACCAAAACTCTCTGCTAAAAATGCACTTGGTCAATCAATAAGGAACACCAAAAAAAAAGAAAAAAAAGAGTACCTGTAGAATCTTGAAAAATGTGAGCTTAAACTGGACCCTTTCTGCATCATCATGTGCTCGAGGCCCATATATATTGAAAAGCACTGTTCAAATCCTCACATTAGTTCTATTGCAGAATTATATGACAATTTACCAGAAAGAAAATTTTGAAGCAACTGCACAAGGCCACTGAATGAAACAAAATGAAAATGGGAATGGAATACCATACATATCACATCATGGCTGATACTAGTGAACCTCTGAGTCTGATGGTAGAAATGGAATTGAAATTACATGAGGGGAAGTAAACCCCAGAAAATAGAATACACATCTTCTACGTACAGTCTGTCCAAATTGATGCTTATCAAAATGTTAACTCACCAAAATGGCTGTGGTCTGTGACGATACAACGACCCTCACTGTCAATCTTCAGAAGCTCATCCTTCGGAAACTCCTCAAGGCCCTCCACTTTTGCAGGCATTCTATCTTTTCTAGCTCTTGATCCTTGCAAAGTTTCAAGAACACCAGTAAAGCCTTCTTCAGCTGCAAGTGGCAAAGGTACTTCATTGCTTGAAAATGCTGACTTTACACGACAAAATGTTGCAACACCTGTACCAAAGTCACCAACTTTTTATGTTTTAATTAAAAAGGAGACCAAGTTCACATCTCCAATTCTGTAAAGACCCACATTGACAATCCCCAGTTTATGATCATCAACCAATATAGTCATTAACAACCTCACCAAAAAATAAAATAAAATAACTTTTCGCTTAAAACGTACAATTAGTATAGAATGAAACACAAACAGTTCCAGCACCACCAACAACCAAGCCTTTTTCCCAACTACTTGGGGTCGGCTACAAGAATCCTATATTTCCATTCCACTCTATTTAAGGCCATAGCCTCAATCAATCCACATGCTATCATATCCTTCTGTACAACTCTGCCCACGTTAACTTTGGTCTTCCTCTTCCCCTAGTATTACCCTCAATAGGGAGCAGTTCCAACAAGAACCTATTAATTCAATAATAGGAGGTGGGTAAAGACAAGCATCGCTTCAAAGGTTAAAAGAGCTTCAAATCTCAGTGCATAGGGTTAAGGAATTTCAGTTATCTACTTCTATGACTTGACCAAAAGGAAAAATAGGTAAAAATAAAATATAATGCAGTAATTGCAAATAATCAAACCATGTTAATTGTTCACTCTCTCTTCATCAAGGCCACAATTGATATGAATTTAATCTTCTCAATTACATATTCATAATTCATCTGTTGCTATCGTCCTTAATTGGTGTTACCTTCATCAGCTAAGTCTATCTATCCATGGAAAGACGTTATCTTTAGTCTTCTGAATAATGCATTCATTTCTCATCTTATACTATTTCAGGTACGCTCAATATATCAATGCACAAACTCTTGCAAATGAAATCAAATGCAACTAACCACTATACCATTAGCCCAGCTACTATATCCTCTCCTTCCTCAAAACGATAGGGGACGGGTTCAAAGCCCCATAGTGGGCACTTGTGGATGTGTGCGAGTATTTTTTTTCTTCTTTAAAACCCAGTGTCCGTCATTGGGGGATTTGGGAAGGGTTAGACAGACGCAGCCTCACCTCTCCACATGCGGGAAAGGCTGTGTACGAGTATTTATCTGACCAAATATATATACACACACATATATCAAATGCAACTATATAGAAAGCCTGGCACCTAATTTAATCACAAGGACCAAATTACATACCCCATTACTTCTAAGTAAGCCCATTACTTGTGGGTGAGGCATTTACTCAAACACCTTACCGGAGTATCCTACGCGTCCTTTATTCGATGTTCGCGTGCAAGAAAAGAAGCATTCGTAGCCGTCGGCGATCACCAAATCAGCCGTTAGCTGCTGCCTCGTCAATTTTGTCTCCTGTATGAACAACAAACGATTTATCAACGCGAATCTAAAGCACCCAAATGGAAAAGTACCATCTACATGTGTATATATGTGTGTGTTTTGGTGGGTGGGCGGAGGAGAGAAAAAAAAATAAATAAATAAAAAAATATTTACCTGAAAGCATATGATGTCGGCATCTAGTGAGTCGAGTAATTTGAGGAGGGAACCGAACTGCGAGATGCGAGAATTGAGGCCGTTGATGTTATACGTTACAATCTTCATTCATATATATATATATATATGGGTCTTTCTTCTTCTCTCTCTGGGTGTATATATCTGAACGCATTTCACATTTGCAGAAGATTGTGTAGTCAGTCTCCGATCGCTGAATGAGAGCACATACAGCGACACCGAAGCAACCGCCTAGGTCTGGTGTCGTTTTTGTTTGATCATCAATTTATGTTTGTATTTTTTTTAGGGTAAATAGCAATAAACACCCCTATACTACTCTCTCTATATCAAGAAACCCCCCTGAACTAATTAGTACCCCCTAAACTATTTAAAAAATACAATTTAAGGACAAAATTCAAATTCATGGGCACCGGAGCTCGTCGGAAATATTAGATTACAAAATTGCCCTTATTATTTTAGGGCCAAACACCACCTTACGGTCCACATTTTATTTTAGTGCCAAATACCAACCAGACCACTACCCAATTAACTAGAAATCTATCCAAGAAACCACAGCTCCTTCAGCCATTGAGTTCATCCATATTGATGATAAGAAAAACCAAAATTAAAACATATTTATTATCTTATTTTTCAACTTACCACATCTTAATCATATTTTATCTCACCATTATTGGACCCTTTTGCAATATTGCAATATTTTATCTCATATTTTATCTCATATTTTATCTCACATGTGATCAAGAGAGAGATGCGTTGATAAATTTATTTGTCTGCTTAATTGGAATCGGAATCTTCGGTATCTATCTATTATCTTTGTAAATATATATATAAATATAGTGCTTATCTTCATTTTATTAAAAGGAACAAATGTATGTGTTTGGATGAAATTAGAAAAACAGAGTTCTTGGCACACTAACATTTGAAGTCATTTTTTCTGGCAACGGCTGTTAGCCCAAATCAATCACCAAAAATGGTTGGGTGTTATTTATTCCGTCTGATCTTAATATCTTAGAGGACTTGGACTGAAAATGAAAGGCGCAGGATACAAGGACACTCCTGCACTTGCCTTTTTGCATTGGCTGAACATCTATTATCTGCCAAATTGTCACCAATGTTTTTTACAAAGGTTACTATATTGTTAATCACCAACATCCCCATCTTCATCCTTATCAATAACATTCATGCAAGCCTATCCACATACGTATACCGACCCACCACCACCCACCAGCCGACGACCACCACCACCCACCGATAACCAGCTGCAAACCCATCTCCTATGGTGATCCATACACAGACAACCACAGCAGGCGGTGGCGTCGCCACCACCCCCATCACCGCCGACCACCAACCAGCACTGTATGGATTATTTACCTTGGTCCCTAAGAACCCAAAACCAAATCAAATACAAATGTAATTGAAATTCATGTATTTTGCATACTGTATATAATCTCTTCTAGATATATTCATAGCTTACCTGGGTTTCGGGATTACTTACTCTATCTAAAAATCAGTAGCAGAAACAGAGATTCAAATACTTATTTGGCTTTGATATTTTGATGTTTGGCTTATGAGGTACTATTTGGAAATTAAGTTGATTAAATATAAGGAAAGTGAGTAGAGAGAGAGAGAGAGAGTGGTGAGTTTCGTCTGTGATTGTTGAAAAGTTGCAGAGCATAGAAAGAGATTGCAATTTGCAGAGCATGGAGAGAGAGTGGAGTTGGGGGTTGATGGTTCGATTTGGGCCAATTAGAAAGGGTAGGTTTGTCATTTTCAATTTATAGCATAGGTCAGGTGACTACTTTACGGTAAAAAACTAACGGAATAGTGTCATCTGGTTGTTTTTGGAAAAATTTGGATAGTATAGGGAGTTTTCTGTTAAAAAAATAGTTTGGGGAGGTTTTTTGGGAAAGAGAGTAAAGTATAAGGGGGTTTATTGCACTTTACCCTTTTTTTATTTTTCTTTTGTCGACCACTTATTTGTTTGGCCAAAATATGACGATGAGTGACTATGTTGTACAAATTTTTTTTTACACGACCAAAAAAAAATATTAAAAAAAATATTATTTCTGTTGATTCATTAAAAAATATTATCTCTTTTGATAGGAAAAAAAAAGTTTCAAAAAAATATCTTTATTTAAGAAATTATCTCTTTTGTCAAGATAAAATAAATAAATAAATTATCTCTATTAAAAAAATTATTTCTTTTTATAAGACCGCAAAAAAAAAAAAAAAAAAAAAAAAAAAAAAAAAAAAAAACCAATTATTTTTATTGAATAAATTATCTTTTTTTTTTACAAGACCCATACAAAATTATCCCAAAAAAAAAAAAAGTTACCACTTTTTACGAGACTGAGAAAAATTAATTTTGTTGAATAAATTATATGTTTTGATTGGACCAAAAAAAGTCACTGTTGAATAAATTATATTTTTTTACTATCAAAAATAAATTTATCCTTATTGAATAAATTATTTTTTTGATAGGACCAGCGCGGGAAAAAATACTAGTAAAAATAAAGGAGGTAAAAAAAAGTAAAAATTGTTTAATGGGTAATTATGATATTATAATATAAGGAACTATTCATTAAAGAGTTCACAGGTTTTCTTGTCATTTCTTATTAAAAAAAAAAATTGAAGAAAGTATTGTAAAGTGCAATAAGAGAAACATGAGTGCGAATATCGCTGCCACTCATTAAAACTCTTTAACTAATTTAAAGAATACACAACTTGATCATATTTTTGAACTTGGAGAGTAATGCTACCATGAGGTCTCTCATGAACTCTCTTTTTTCAATTATATAATTAAAATTTCGTTCAAAATTTCATTGACAATAAATTACACTAATCGGTCAAAGTTAATGATGTAATTTAAACAAAAAAAAAAAAGAGTGTAAAATTTTGATCGATCCGCGTGATTTACTGTTAATGAATTTTAAACAAAATTTTAACTATATAATCATCGTTTAATTCTCTTTCAAGTAGTTGAATTCGTACTTCAATATTTGCACATAATCTTACAAAAAAAAAAAAAAAAAAAAACTCATGAAAAGTCTCGTAAGATAGATGTCTTAGTAGCATTACTCAAACTTGGATCAGCAATTGTTGCCTTCTAATGTGACAAAGATATAAGTATCACACACACACAAAATAAATAAAAAAGATTAGAAATAAACTTATGTTATTCTATTTAGTATTGTTTTAAGATTCCTTGCAAATGCCGACATTGAAAAAGACTTGTTAACTGAAATATTCATAGACAATAAATAAAAAAGAGAAGTGGACATTGGACAACCACTCAAGTATAGAAGAATAAAATATATGGTGTATAAAAGAATAAAAAAAATATTAAAAATTGGAGGAAAATTCGGTTAAGCATATTATTAGGAGGAGACTATGAAGGAATATTAGAGATGATTCCCCAAATTAAATCAGTTGACTCACAATGGACCCCACGTGGAGACAGATCGGCCAGTGCACATGTCGTTGGTGCTATATCCTCGTGGCTCGTGGAAAGCACAAGCTTATTTTTACTGTACTCTATCTCTCTCTCTCTCCCTCTCTCTAGAGTTTGAGCATTGGCTTTGCATATTTTCGCAGAATCTCCATTGCCAAGCAATGGATCAATGGAAAACAGATGATTTCTCTCGAACCCTAAATCCCAATTCAATCCCCACAAACAACACTATCAATCGATTCCCCAATTCGCATCATCTCGAACCAAGGTTAATTTGCTGATTTTTTTCCTTTTCCTCCATACTCATAGTTCTTTGTAGTATTCACACACACACACACATATATATAGATATATATTACTTGGTGATGTCAATTTCTGCAGAATTAACTCAATTGCAAGTGTAATATTAAATTGTTATGTAAAAACCGCAAGAAAGAAAGAAAAAAAAAAAATTGTTTGTAGTTGAACTTGGATGTAATAGGTGTTGATTAGCTTTGAAGATGTTAATTGGTTGTTAAAGTATCTATGAGGTCATGCCAGAGACCTGACCTCAATCCTTCGGATGAACAGATCTTTTACTTGGACATGAATTTTTTTAGAAATATATTGAAGGAATTCTTTAGTTGCTTGCTATTAATGTTGGGTTTGGAAACACTGAATCTGCGTCTTAGATTTGGAATTGGAAGAAATTTAGTTCATTTTAGCTTTAAATGTATTTAATTTCCATTCCTTTCTCTCTAGGCAAAGGCCCGAAGTGGAAGTAAAAGATTCAACTGCTGCAAGAAGAGTTCAAAAGGCAGACCGAGAAAAATTGAGGAGGGATAAGCTAAATGAACACTTTCTAGAATTGGGAAAAGCACTTGGTAATGTATTGCAACCTTTGAATACCATTTTTTTTTCCCAATAAAAACTCTTATATTTAGCTTCTCATTTAGCTAATACTTGTTACTATTCTCTTGTTTTTCAATGGTATGCCAAATAGGAGAAATGCTAGAGTATGCCAGTACTAGCATGTGATTATGATATACCCTCATCGTAGATCAGATACATTACGTAACTGCAGAGAAAATTTTGTATCACGAATGTAGAAATTGCTAGTTGCCCTTATAGATGGAATAATGAAGTTACACATTTGAGTTCCATAAAACATGAATCTAAATTATCTACGAGGAAGGTGTATTAGGCACTGCGAAAAAGGGCAGAAAAAGGTAAATTCAACTCTCAAAATTTTGCACTCACCGTATTATTGTTCATGTACGTGCATTCAAATGGTTAAAGTATAATTGGGGTTTCAATTTGCATGATTTGATCTTATAATGTTTTGAAATGGATTAAACTGTTTTAGAAACAAAATACCGGTTGAACAATGACAGTGGAGTTTGATCGATCGAAGGATCAATTGAATCTTAGTGGACTGGGATTGATCAATCTATCCAATGCCTGTATCAATTGATGTTTATGGGAAGGCAGTTTTCAGAAAGGTTGTAAACACTTAAACCCTAATCTTTCCCTGCCTCGATATTATGCCTTTCAATGCCTCAACAGTAACTAATGAACCTGGACACCTAGTAGTGTTTGGTTGGTTTAACCTTCATAATGAATAAGACCAAAGCCAATGCTAGGCTTAATAGAATCCTTTTTAGGCAACGGTATTAAAAATAAAAATAAATGTGATTTAAGTGGACAAATTACGGAAGCAATCTTAGAACCACATTATACTTCCTTTGAGTGGTTGGAAATGAAGTTGAATATACTCGTCCTTAGCCTTTGACAGTGTTCTATATTATTAAAATCACTGCAAAACATATAGATTGTGAAGAGAATATCAAATGTTTCACTTACACTTCTTTAAATTGGTGTATAATGCTAAATTTTGTCATTGTCACGAAACATGTTTGGGTGCTTCCCAATTGTAGCATTGTAGCTTGTCATATTGAAAATGTGAATACATGAAGATGAGTGGATATAAACAAACATTATTGCCAGTAGATCTGTAGGAAGAACCTACTTATCTCTCCTCTGAAATTGGATCAGGCCCTGTTGTTGTTGTTCTTGTCGTTTTTTTCCTGAGCTTTCTATCCATGCTCCTATTATTACTCTAACTCCTGATTTTCTCCTTTGGGAATTAACATTTTTAATATTTATATTTGATCAAACTTAACCCCCCTCCCTCTGCGGCCAACAAAAGACTAGTGTTTGCCATCTTTGTTTCAGTTCAGATGTCAACCATTTGAGGTCTTAGGTTTGTCTACTGGTTTGTATTATCACTCTTTTAATTTATTGTTGCGTTACATCTTGGAATATAACTGCTTCTGCAGTTCCAAATTCAATTCACTATATTGCAAATTGATTTAAGATTTTTAATTAAGATTTCAATAATTCTTAGACTAGGTAGACAACTTGGATTTCTATGGCTGACCTCTTGCATGGGCTAATCTTTTGATTGGTTCTCTTTAAAACTTGTTCCGCTGCCCCTAATATTAACATGGAAAATGAACATTTATATGATTGTTGCTTTTAGTCTTATGTATATAGCTCTTATTTCACTGCTATATTAAAAGCGGTTGATATTTTTCGAAGACTACATCGTTCATTCGACGTGCAGACCCAGATAGACCCAAGAATGACAAGGCAACCATCCTTACTGATACAGTCCAATTGCTGAAGGATCTGACTGCTGAAGTCAACAGACTGAAAACTGAGTGTAAAGCACTTTCTGAGGAATCGCGTGAGGTGATGGTCCTTTCATGGTAGTTCTTAAAGGTTTCGGGCCCCTTTTGATTGCTTATCGCATTAGTTGATTTTGTTTTTTAAACAGCTGACACAGGAGAAGAACGAGCTTAGAGAGGAGAAGACAGCTCTAAAATCTGATATCAACAATCTCAATGTACAATATCAGCAAAGACACAGGGTTATGTTTCCGTGGGGTGGTATTGATCCTTCAGTTGTCATGGCACCGTCTTATTCGTATCCAGTCCCTCTCTCTGTTCCTCCAGGTCCAGTTCCTATGCACCCATCTCTGCAGCCATTCCCTTTCTTTGGAAATCAGAATCCTGGTGCCATTCCTAACCCCTGTACAACTTTCATCCCATATCCGACTTCTGCTAATCCCCACACGGAACAGCCATCTAGACAATATGCACCCACTTCTCACGTTACAAGCAAACAAGATTCGAAAATCAAGTCATTGGGTTGTAGTAGGGACAGTAACGATGAAATAAGTGATGATATTAACAATGTGGCGACACAGCTGGAACTCAAAACACCAGGATCTAGAGCACAGCAGGTTGGTTTAAGATTGATTTAGAGAAGGAACCTTTACAAAAATGTTGACCAGATTAACGATGGAATCATAACTGTTTATAGGTTTTTGCAGGACTCGTCACCAGGAGAAAAGAAGGGCAAGCAACCACATAGGAAAGAGAAAAATATTACAGATGGCAGCTCTTCGAGCAGGTATTCATCCTCTCAAGGTTTTCAGGATCGCGCATCCAACAGTGTGGATAACACATTGAAGTTCAATAAATGAGAAGCTTCTGGTTGCTCGTGATATCTGACTGCCTCCATATGCTAACGTCTCTATGGTAGCATCTGTTTGCTATGATACAGTACTAACTTTGAGCTTCGGCTCACCAAAGCTATGGTCTCTCCAAAGTCGACTTGAGGGGAAGAATGAAAACAATGGTCGTCCTTGTGCAGCTGTGCTGATGAAGGTCGAGGAGAAGTATTGATTGCTGCCGCAGCCTCCTGGAGGGCCAGGCAGAGGCTGGTTGGACTCTACCATTCAATTCTGTCTAGATAATCTATGATAATTTTAAGTTTAAAACATGAAAGTGCAACTTTGAAATCGAAGTTGTAACAGTTGCAAGTTGGAATAACAGTTGCAAGTTGGAATAGAATAGTTTTGGGTGAAATCTATCTTCCTGTAAATCGCTTGTAGCTCTGTGCACCTCTGTACCTATGAATTGCATGACTTCATTGAACAGTCACTGTGGACACGGATTGGGGTGAATATTTTTTTTTTTTTTACCCCCTTAGCAATCAGACACTCATTTCTTCCTACGAGGACTTAAGTCTAACCTTTTTCTTTCACTTTGGGAGGTAGACGAGATACTGCTGGACTACAATGTCTTTGGTGACTCGGTTTTGACTTCGACATAAAAGAAATAATTTTCAAAATCATGGGTTAATGTGATTGAACATGACATGAAAATAAAAAATGATCATCTAGACAGACAAAAGGTGTCATCTTTATAGAGAAAAGATAATGACAGTTGAGCAAGTGCCATATTCAACTGTCTTGAATGGTATGAGATAGTGAGAATGTCTCGAACAGTTTTCACACTGCTGGCTTTTACAAGTATGAACATATTTATCTTTTTCTATAGTATAAAGAATAAATAACATAAATGAATTCTAGAGCAAACAATTTTCATTAATAATTTACTCATGTAACACATCATAAACACGTGCTATACTTTGCAAGGAAACCCCAACACTACGAATCATGTACACTAATATGACCATGCTACATGTAGCCATTTTCCACACACAGCCAGAGCAACTCTTTACATTAAACACCTCTTAGCCCAGGCAACTCTACATTAAACCCTTCTTAGCCCAAGCACCTCTTGAGCCGTTGCGGATTTCTGGCACTGATTGCCCTTTTTTTTTTCTTTTTTCTTTTTTTTTTTAAGACGCGCCCGCAAGATGGCAGAAGAGACTGAAGCAGATGAGAATTCATCATCTGTAAGCTTGATGATCTTCAAGTACCAGATTTTTTAAAAGGAACTCCACCTCTCTTACCCTACTCTCATTTCCGTCACAAAATTCTGGAACACCTTTTCTGCCTCACCTGAAAGCTTGGTGGGCATGTGGGCTAGGCACCTTTCGTGGAGAATTCAAGCTCGCAGTTCTTAAAAGTCTCCGGAATTCTGGTAAGCTTATCTTCCCATCTCTGTCGATATCAGCCTCCTCTAGAAGTGGGTCTAATGAGCCTTTTAATCCGGTATGCTGCAAGGCAATAGCAAAATGTTAAGAGGACAAACATTATGATTTACGAGGCTAGAGTTGTTCCCATGCATTTTTGAACTGGAAAAGGATGTGATTCAGACTGTAATAAATGGAATACAATGAGGTTTTATTAATAGATTTGCTATTAATCTATTTAGACCCAAAGAAAGATTTGACCTAAAACCAGTGTCCCAGGTTAAACAATTACAATCTTCAAATTTTATGGCTTAGCTGCTAGATGTTCCAACCTTCAAATTTTATGGCTTAGCTGCCAGATGCAATGTATCAAATCTATACAAGACCTCATGCTATATAATTTCAATTGGCAAGAAAGAAACATTAAACTAGAGTTGAAGGACCGCAATATATATATATAGATATATATATATATATATATATATATATATATATTTCTAGGTTCCTAAAATAATAGATTTGGCTTGCAGTATTACTGCCAACCCAAATCCCAACCTCATTTGTGTTTAGTGAGGCAAGAAAATGAAATGAAAACATTGGTTATGTGTGCAGAAATGCCAAGACTAAGTCCTCACCATTCTAAGTTCTTCTGGGGTTATATATCCATCTCTATCCACATCAAATTTCTCAAAAGCAGCCTGTGACCTCTGCAGCCACTTCTCTGTGTCATGCTCCTCTAATTGATTAACATGTAGGGTCGCTGCAACAAACTCTGGGAAATCCACAAGACCATCAGTATTACTGTCGATCTGTCTCAAGCAAACAAATAAAGCCCATCAGGATCCCATTTGTAGAAAGAAACACCATTCACAAGAAGATAAGACATCATGCTGTCAAGAATTAGTGCTGTTTTGGGACTTCTAGAGGGAAATAATAGGTAGGAACAATCATGAACTGCAATACCAAGGGCCTTGTAGCGTAGGGTACCTCCTCTACCTCCCAAAGTGGATGGTGAGGGTTCAAGTCCCCAGTAGGGGCAAACGGGTGTGTGAGTTTCTTGCCAATTGAAAAAAATTTAAAAAAAATCATGAACTGCAATGATCGAACATCTAGACTTTCTACATAAAAATGGGTGGTCATTCTGCAATGAAAAATGTACTTATTTATTATTTTATTTTATTTTATTTTATTTTTGTGGGTAGGGGGACTAGAAGTCTAGAACCGTAAGGGTTTGCAATGGGAAAAAGATAGTGTCGAATAAGAGCTGAAATTTGGACACTTCTTTGACTTACAGCTTGAAGAATCTCTAAAACACGCGAGTCTTTCAACTTCCAAGGAAGATCTTTAGCAAGGGCCTACATTAAAACCAGACATGTTATGACAAATTCATAAACTTTATGAAGTGTCAAATATCAAAGTGTAAAACTCCATGATTAGATTAATTATGCCCAACATTTAGAAATAACAAAGAAAGTAAATTCTTCGACTCGAGATCTTCCACGATTAAAATGTGAAGAAAGCATACCTGTCTCATTTCTTCAAGACTAATAGTGCCACTTTTATCCACATCAATTGCATCAAACTGATCATGAAGATCAGCCAGCTCCTCGTCATCAAGTGTGGTAGCCAATGCCTGCAAGATAATAGATTGTCCTTGAAATAAATATGACAAAGGGAAAGCATTGTTGAAGATGTACCATGGAACTTGCCAACCAAAGGAAAAAAAATTCTTACCCGCAGAGCAAACTGTTTCAGACGACTGTACTTCACAAATTGCCGCATATTGGATAGGACTGAAATATCTAGAGGAATTTCTGAGGCATTTCCCCCTTCTCTAACCCATGCGTGTGCTGGAAAAGTTGGAGCATGTTAGAACACTACAATCGTATACGGGTAAGAAAGTGTACAACAGACATGGTTTGACTATCAACAAAAGACAAATGTAAGATAATATCGGCAATGGCAAAACATTTTAAGTGCCAGTCACTAGAAAAATCCTTAATATAAAATATTCTACATTGTCATAGAAATCACATTTGATTCTATTAATGGTTAAATGCTTAAGAGACAAATCTAGGTCTTTGTACCAAACAGGGCCTTCTACCTCTTTGTTTGGCTTTTTCCATTGGCTACATGGGTTTAAAACTGCATCACCTATTGTGCAGCTTTCCCTACCTGCCAACTGGTATTGCTAAGATTCATGGCAGGCCTATCTCCTCCCAGCAACCCAGGCCTTGGCATCAATCCATAGAGGGTTGATGTCACACTGAGAGGTAGCTATAATAATTTAAAACTTTGATAAATCACTATGCGATCAATAAAGCACGGTCCAAATAGCAGTTAAGAATCGATAATTCTTTAAAATCCAAATTTATGCTACACCATTAAAACAATATTTGCTTCTTTCAGAAAACAATCAGAAACATACATAAGGCCTGAGCAGCAGTAAGTCTTGCACGAGGATCCTTCACCAGTAACTTTGTTACAAAATCTTTGGCGCTGCTGCTTATGTTTGGCCATGGTTTGCGACGAAAATCAGGCTTGTTCCTTAATACCTGAAATATTTGAAAACTTAATATGGATACTAATTACAGAAGCAAAACAAGAAGAATGTTCAAATTTCCTCCTCTGTAAAAAGTAATCAAGTTATTTAGGGGGAAAAATTCACTGATAAAAATTCAAGGATAAACATGAAATGGAAATAAGGTCACTAAATGACATGCAAAGCACACTATTAATTGAACAGAAATAATACAAATGGTATGAGTGACTAGAAAAGATATGGGTAAAGGAGTTCTTAATAGTGAAGCCTATTGATGACAAAACATTATAAAGTAGACTTAGATGGTATGAAAATATATAGCAAAGACCTATATGATACTACATATGCACCAGTATGACGAGGACGTTTAGTTTTCATAGAAGGTAAGAAACAAAGAGGCCAGCCAAGACTAACCCGAATGAAATATTAGAAATGTTTGAAGCCTAGTAGTGACAAAATAAGACAAAGTAGACTTAGATTGTATGAGCATATATAACAAAGACCTATATTATATAGATGCACCAGTATGACGAGGAACTTTAGTTTGCATAGAAGGTAAGAGATGGAAAGGCCAACTGAAACTAACATGATTATGGGATGAAATATTTTTAAAAGTTAAATATAATTGGAGAATTGGAGAAATGGCTTGTAATTGAAAAGAAAGCGCAAAGATAATTCAAGTAGCTGACCCTATCTATTTATATGGGATTAAAGCAAGGACAACAGTGATAATGATACTTATACTGAATCCAAAGAAAATTAAAGCAAAAACAATTCATCCCACTAAAAGCAGGAAGAAAATGTTAACTTCCAAGCTAAGAATGTATTGCACCTCCTTGAATATACCATCCTCGGTTTTATCCCAAAAAGGACGCCTGCCACAGAGCAAAATGTAAGTGATTACACCAATACTCCAAACATCTGATTCGGGCCCTGATTTACGTTTCAATACTTCAGGAGCAACATAGTAGGCACTGCCAACAATATCTCGAAACTTCTTCCCTGCATCAGTTATAAAATCATGCAAGCAAGGTTTCAGAGGTCTATAACTAAAACAGCCAAGACTTATCTCAAAATATTTTTGGCAAAAGCCATGGAAATCTCTGAACATAAGAGGAAAAAATATAAGAAATTTAAAAAGATTGTATAGTATAATTGTTGAATAACAGAATTGACAAGAATCGGACAGCAAGGACATATCATTATAATAAGAAATGTAAAACGAAATGATGCCTTGTCAGGACAAATGAAATCCTCAGTGTACCAGAACTTATACTCACCTGGTCTTATGAAGTCTGATAGACCAAAATCTGTAGCCTTTAAAGGTGAATCCACTTTTGGTGACTTGAAAAGAAAATTCTACAAGAAAGAGAGAAAATATAAGTGAAGCACCATCAAGCACCATGACTCCAGGAAACATAATCTAAATATCATGTTTGCTAGTTAACTTTGACAATACCTCTGGTTTCATGTCACGATGCACCAAACCATGTAAATGGCACTCAGCTGCAACCTTGAGCATCTGCCGCACAACTATTGCGGCATCTTTCTCAGTATAACGGCTGTCCTTTCTGATCAGAGAACATCAAAAGTAAGTAAATCATGCTTTTAGACCAGAAGCATATATCAAACAGCAAACACTTCAGACCATAGATGCTACATCATATTAAAAAGTTGAGATTCTTACTTGCCCAAAATCCTATCCAGCAATTCACCACCCTCACATAACCTAATAAGAGAAGTGAAGAAACCACCTAATTAAATCACAGTGAATTGAGATGACTGTTCTTTTTTTGGGAAAAAGTAACTAAATAATAGAGCACGTGACATATTTGGGCTCTCTGTAGGACATGGACTTTGATGCACTACAGAAATAAAAAGGTGAAAATATGAAATCCAAAGAGCTTAAAAAAAAAAAGGACATGTAGAATATGAATGGCAAAATCAAAGAGATTGTACAAATAACAAAACTTACTCCATGACTATATACACATAAGAATCGTCCTCAAATGCATTGTAAAAATGAACCACGTTTTCATGGCCAGCTAAGGCATGCAGTATCTTGACCTCTCTCTTAACATCCTCAACGGCAACAGGAAGAACCATCTGTCACCAAAGGCAAGAATTTATTCAAATGAATTACAACAATAAAAACCAAATAAACTTTAGCAAACAACCAACACATCAAAATGGTAATTTTTTCTCAAAAGTTTCAAGCCTCTTACGCATTCAACTGCACTCTCCATTTTGATTGTGTCTATGATCCCAACAGTCATATTAACCACAAGAACTAGTACCCAACAAAATAAGCCAGCAAATAACCACATTGTTCTCTTTCTAAAGCAACATTAAAGGAAGAAACAGTTGTAGAAGCAAGCTAACAGAGACATACTTGGAATTTGGAACATGGTATGCATCAATATACATCCTGATTTGCAAGGTTGTGGATGGAATACAATAGACAGTCCAAGCCACATCAGTAATGCTAATGCTCCAGACAGGAGCTCCTTCTTAAAGCCGGTCAACTACAGTTTAGTTTCAGCAGAATATATATTATTGTATCCCTTGTAATGTTGTAGCAGAAAGATCAACCACAGTTTATTTTGTGGAATGCGGGAAGGACCAACCAAAAAAGGAAAAACAAAAGGGGGCAGCTCCACATTTAGTAAAAAAAAATTAAAAAAAAAAAAAAAAAGAAAAATCCTGAAAACAGGAACTTTAATTATCTTGAGAAAAATAATGTTTGTTGATGTTAGAGATTATATTTAACAATCATGATAATATAGAAAGTAAATTCTCCATTAATCCCCACTAGTGTACTCTAATTAGACAAAGCTCCGTTCTTTTGTTAGCGCAGAGTCGCGCAGACACAAAGGCAATATTTAACCATCACTGTCAATGATAAGATAGAAAGTAAATTCTCTATTGATCCCCACTATACTCAAATTGGACAAAGATCTGTTCTTTAGTGACGCAGACACGAAGGCAGAATGAAGTTGCGAATTGAAGAAATAGCTCAATTTCGCTTAATCTAATAAAAGTGGCAAAAATATTAGTGCCAACGAGATCCTCCCCCATCTATGCTAGATTGCTCTCATGAGAACTAATTTTCAAGACCCACTCAAAGAACTCATCAGAAAATAGAGAAAACTATGAATGATGTGACCCAACGAACACATACTCCATCAAACAAGGTGTATATACAATCTCAATCAGAAAGTTGCTAAATATTCATTGAAAATCCAGAAAACAAAGAATCTCTGGATCAATTACCCATTTTTGGAAAGGTTGGATACTTTATCATCAATACCACCAACCAATCAAAATAACATATTCCTGGTTTGACCAAACACCCACAAAGCTATATTTCAAATCCAAATTAACTCCCCACAAATATGGAAAATCAAAAATTATAATGAACCCAATTTCACACATTTGAATTGCCATATAAAGCAGGAAAATTTTCAAAAAACATAGCAAAAATGCAAAACCCAATATAAAATTATTGATAAAAATTACAAAAATTACCTTATTCTTCTCGATTCTCTTGACTGCAACACGATCTCCATTAGACTTGTCGATGGCAACATAGGTATACCCAAATTGGCCATGACCCAATAGTTTCCCAATCGAGTACTTTCTATCGAAATCTTTGGCGAACCCAAAATCGGTTCGCTTTCCACAGGGTATGACCCCACTTCGCAGCCTCGAATTCCCCTTTTCTCTCGGCCTAACCTGCTGAGGATTCCTCTGTTTCTGTTGATGATTTTTATTGGTCTCTTGGGTATTTTTCGATTTCTGACGCGATTTTCTGTCTCGTTTCTTTGATGTAGTTGTTGTTGCTGGTTTGGTGTTGTCTTTGCGGTTGTGTTTGACGTTGTTGTTGCTGTTTGAGCCACCGACTCTGGTTCTCGAGAAGCAAATACCCATCTTATGTTGAGCTTCTCAAAGGTTTTGGGTTACCAGTGATCATATGAAGAGATAGAGAGGAGAGAGAAATGCAATGACATTACAGGGAAAAGGAAGAAGGGACGAAAGAGAGGAGGACGGTGGTGGTGATGGTCAAAACAAACTTTCGAAGAAGATGGAGAGAGAGAGAGAAGGGGGTTGGGAAACGGAAACGGAAACGGAAACGGGTTTTAGAAGATCGCCCGTTTATCTTTCATTTGGATGGAAAAAACGAAAATATATAAGTTTCCGGAAAATATATATATATATATTTATATATAAACCGATTTGTGAATTACAGTAAAAAATTATCCAAGTTCGAAAGTCTAAAAAAAAAGACTATTTAAGCATGAGGTAATAATAACTCACCATAAAACAATAGAAATTGCTAAGGCTTGTATTATAAAAAAAATTATTATATAAATTTCAGATCATTGGTCCAACCAATATACATCTAAATAAATTTATCATATGTATATAAATTTTATTCAATTTTTCATCTAGGTGTCAAATAGTGATTAGTTAGATTAATAATTATTTAACACCTAAATGTGTAAATTATATTCAGTTTATTTATTTATTTAAGAGTCAAATAGTGATTGGCAAGAGTCCGGTTATGTAATAATTTCCCTATTATAATTTTTATAATTTTTTAATTTAATTATTATTATTAGTATAAAAATAAATTAAAGAATTGGCAAATTTTTTTGTAATTTTTGTTTGTTATTTTACTTCGTTTCCGATTTGGATTTGGGAAGTTCGTTTGCCGCGTGAATTACAGGCTGTTGAATGGAAATTGGGTAATCATTAATGTTAAGCGTCTTTTTGGAATGTATGAAAGATACTATTTTTTTTTTTAAAAATTGATCTCGTATCATGTCTTGAACGGATGATATTGATTTGAAATAATTCATAACATAATAGGTATTTTTGGACACAAACGCTTATCACTCAATTAGTAATATTGGGTACTTTTATATTGTAGTGGATGAAGTAAATCAAATTTTTTAATTTTTCAAAATAAATTTTCATTACGAAATATGGTTTAGATTTCTATCCAAAATACCTCTACATAAAACAGTTGTCATATTATTGTATGTCAAATGGGTAGTGTTTTTAGATTCTAGATACTGTAGTGGCATGTAAACCCAATAAGATAGAGAAGTGTTATCACACTATACCCGTTTGGTATGCGTTTTGTTTCTGTTGTTTTTGTTTTTGAACTGTTATAGTGTCAATTTTGGCAACAAAAGTATGTTTAGTGGGGCCTTATTTTATTTTACAAAGTGTTAAAACACTTCGTGAACAGTGACCTAAAACCAAAATACCGAAAATATATTTTTTTTATTGTTTTGATAATTGTTCATGACTCAAAATCATAACTATGTATGTTTCTGTTTATGACATTTTCACAGCAAAATATCGTTATCAAACATGCTTTGAAATTTTTTTTCCAAAACACTATATTTGTTTTAGTTAAAAAAAAAATTAATACCAAACAGGCCCAAAATAAATTTTTTTTTTTTTGGGCATTGGGTAAATAGACGGAAAGGAGATGGGATAGGTCATAGGGTGGGGGCACTTATCACAGTAAATTGAAAATTGAAGTAGAAGAAAATTTATTTATTTATTTATTTTTTGGTGTGATCATATTTTTATTATATCGAATGTACCTTTATATCCTCCACTTAAATGGGAAGAGTTTCTTTCGTGAAGAAAACGTTTCATGATAGGTACTTGTAAGGCATGTACGGTATGTCTTAAATCTCAATAGGTACTTGTATGGCATGTATGGCATGTATGGCATGTAAATTTGATAAAGTAAAAAATGATAACAAAATAAATAATTAAATATTACTTTAAGACCAAGAGTTTACTAAGAGTTGTTTCTGTTACCCATGATGAATATTACAAAAAGATGAGTAGATGGTGACATCGACGTGGAAAATTGAAATTGGAGCCAAGTTAGTAGTATCTTTTGTAATAAACTAATATCAAATAATTTATCTTTAAAATAAATTATACAGTATAACGATTATTAGGCTAGTAATATTGTATGGAATTGAAAAAGACACAAACATAATACATTTATGTACCAAAAATGAAGATGTTATGTAAGATAATAGGAATCACTAGAAGAGATAAAATAAAATAATGAACATGTAAGGAGAATATTAGGTATAGTACATATAAATGATAAACTTAGAAAAATATACTTAGATGGTATGACTATATCAAATATAGATTTCATAATGCACTTATTGAAAGGGGAAGAGTTGTTTATTTAAAAAGTGAGTCGTGAGTGACAAATAGACCGACGAGAGTCTACATTGGATGAAGTAATTAAAAATAACTTGCAAAATTTACAGTAGAAAAGAATGAGAAAAGAGAATTCATGCTTCTGAATTCATTCATACAAGATAAATGCAAGAATGATAATGATAATAGGTAAAAGCAAAAATGATGATGATAATACCCTATTTTGATATAAGAAGTGAGAAAATATCAAGAATGACTTTAACACTAAGTAAACTTATGAGGTTTAATGAGTATGCTCAACTATATATCCTTCGTCTCAAGTGCTGTTAGATTGGTCATATATATATATATATATATATATATGATGCACGAATTGATCTTCTGTTGTGTGAAAAAAACGTTAATAGTCTTATTTAGTAAAATATTAAGAATGCCATTTATCAGTGGACCATTATGCCCTTAAGGTATATATGTTAATAAATGGTTAACTAGGAGTAATAATTTATTTATGTTTCATTAGGCATTACTAATATTTATCCATGAATAAAATGAAGTAATCATAGATTGATAATTAAGTTTTAGATTGAGGTTTTTTTTTATTTTTTTTTTAATAAAAATCTTGGCCAAGAAATCCCAAAATATTCCTGGAGTGATTATATGGTTGAATCTTTTACCATTCACTAAGAGATATCATTAAATAGCAAGTCTTAACCACCCAATGCACCCTCACTCTACCCTTCTAACTTAAGTTACACGGAATTGGATTGAAAATGGAAACATAAAAAAGAGTAGAAGAATTATGTGACTTAACTTTAACCAATACTTTATAAAATGACTAGTTACAATGGGTAGATATTTCACAATCCAATTCAAAAGCTTAAAGCTATTAGGTGGGAACAAACTCCCCTTATTATATTCTCTCCGACCCAAATTAGCAATGCCCTCGTTGCGGCTCACCCAGACATCTTCGAATCGGGCGTTTGGCATGACACCGGATCAAAAACTGAATCTGATTATGATACTAACTGTAAATATGTGAGTTCTTTACAATCCGATTTAAAAAATTTAACTTATCGGGCGCGACTAACATCTAACCAATATATATCACATTTATTTTTTTTATCCGATCCGACGAATTGTTACACTAGTACAATGTAGTTTATATTCCTCAAGGCAACTGTACTTTTTGATGACAATATATACAGGGCCTACAGCCTCGGACCCATCTTCCATATTCTTTATGGCAACTTGCAAATCCACCTGCACTTTCTGTCACACCTTCGGGTTGCTCCAAAAATCTCACTCGCGCCATCTTTTTATCCTCCATTCTTTCTCCTCCTGGAAGAGAGAAGATATTTATTCCGCCCCCTTCTCCTCTAGCCACTTGGCCGCGCCACCTCCACTGGTGGCAGAAAAGGTATTTGACGTCAAAAAAAATATATCACCAGTTAAAAAGAGATTTCAAATCATAAATTATAGTAACAATCACGAGATACACGATGCAATATAAAGTTATTATCTATAGTTTTTTTTTTTTTTTTAACAAAATCATTTATGATTATATTCACAAATCATGTAAATTAGCTTGCCATAATAATGTCTTTTTTTATTAACTTTCAATTTTTACTTAATATAAATAATTAATAGTACGACTTGCCATAATAATGTCTTTTTTTATTAACTTCCAATTTTTACTTAATATAAATAATTAATAGTACGACTCATTTGTAGTCTATTATTTATTATTTAACTAAAATAACAAAAGCGAAAATTAATCAGAGTTGCTATTTCAATTGATTGTCTTCCATAATCGCATTGATTATTTTTATCCAATTAGTTTTGATCATTGCTCATTAAGATGAAAATCATAAAAACATACTGTATATAGGATAATCAATTATTTGAAAATCATAAAACATATGAAAAGACAATAAAGGAAGGGACTATCCACTTTAATAGAGCCAAGTATAATGTTCCAATTAAGCTTTTTCATCCACTCATTTTCAAATCACATGATTCACACTATTCTTTCTTTCATTCACGTTATTCTTTCTTTTTAGTGCCAAGTCATCCATTGGCCATATAGTAATAAAATAAAATAAATAAATAAAGTAGAATCGTAAATTTCGAGCCAAGTACTCGGTTGCTCGATATTATTATTTATTTATTTATTTTAAGCATAGTTGCTCGATATTAATAGAGTCCATTTTTCATTAATGGACTTTTTTTAATTTTTTTAATTTTTTTTTTGTAGGTGGAGAAATGTTAAATGAATCGATTTATGTTGAATTACAGAAGAAATGTTAGTTAAAATCAAATTTAACAATTTTGATTTTAAATTTAAAAGGATTCATAGATTGATTTAAAATTCTTTTATGTTTTTATTATCCTTAAATAAGTTGGCATGTATTGGTTAAGAGTTATCATATGTCTTCCTAATTTAATTGTCTTTATAAATTAATTAATAAACTATACTCTTCCAATACATTAGTTTGTCCAATGTATGTGAGTCGGACTAAGTATGTATTCAGTAATAAATTTTGAGATATTTTAAAAGACCGATAAATCACACAATTTTTCTTAACAGGTGTTACTTTCACGTTTCGAACATGTTTCAACTCTCGCCCTTCGCACACGCTCTTGTTTAAATTTTCATTACTTATAATTTAATTACGTCGTTCTCACTCTCTCGCTTTTGAATTTACTCTTATTCCTACTCCCTCCTGTTTTACGTGACTTAGACTGACACTACCATCCAACACAACAAGTAAAAAAAAAAGAAAAAAAAAAAAAACAACTAATGTTGATGATCACAAGAAGCCATCGTATTGATAATATATATATAGAAGGGGCATTGACTTGGTCGTTGTATATCCTCAAAAGTCAGACGCACACACTTCGAGTGCATACAAAAATGTATAATTTTTATGTTTTTTTGACAGAAACATCAAATATGAAT